TTTTTTTTTTTTTTTTTTTTTTTTTTTTTTAAAGCTAAGTTAGTACGTATATAGAGTAATTCCGCCTACAAAACAATATGGACTATTTGGATCCATTTATATATACACTTATACTTGTAAAGACTAAAGAGATATAAGTTCTTTTTGTGTCTGCAGGCAATAGCGTAAACATAAACCTCACGGTGCATAGAGATTACTGGATCCCTTGTGTGGAGACACTAAGTTTCTCTTCGAAACTCCAATTTCATTGATAGTTATGGTGTTATCCCAACTTGAGCTGATTGTCAATTTTTTTTTAAAATTTTTTTTTTTAAACTCATTTATCTCATTGAATGATTTTATTTTCTTGACCTTGTAAGGCCTTTTCTTGACCTTGTAAGACCCCATCCCTTTCTAAGTGTCTCCTTCTTCTATCATTTTGCATATTTTCTTTTATCTCTTTCTGGTGTAAGATATGCATGTATATCTGCCCATAGTTTGTCCGAGTCATCTTCTCCTACCTTGTCTATCCCTCCTGAGCTAATCCTTACATCTTATTTGTTTGTTGTTGATGTATGGCTGATATAAATTTCAAACTTTCAAATAAAAAAAACTTAGTTTTCTTCTTTAACTTCTGTTTGTGTTGGTTGTATTGTTGTAACAAAATTTAAAGGAGGTGAAAAAAGTTTCGCTATCAAGGGGACTGGCAAAACGCAATGAATAAGGAAACGAGCAAAAAGAATTATGCCTTTACTCTCTCTCTCTATCTCTTTAAGGCTTTGGACAGGAATTTACTTTTGTTTTATGTGTTGTGTTTGTTTGGGTCTGACTGACCCCAAAGGCCAAACCAGAGAACACTCTTATTAATTATTCCCTCAGAACCATTTATTGTCTCTTTCTCTCTATCTCTCTCACTCACTCGTGACTATGTTTCTCACTGTCTGTAGTCTGTACTAGTATCCCTTTTACCAAATAAATATTCTCTAACGGTGGTTAAACCGATTTGAAGTTTGTAAAGATGAGAAGTTTTAGTTATTAAGTTTTTTCACAGTTCATAGAGACGACCAACAAATCAAATTAAATGTTTGTAGAAACGAGTATGTTTCTTATAAGACGAGTACATCTTTAATTTACGGCTTGACGAATGCTTAATACTATCTTCTAGTTACCAGTTATCCCACTTGTTAGATTATGCTATTGCTTTCTCTCTTGTTAAGTAGTCATATTATATGCATATTAAATCCATAAACCCCTTTTCATGTGGGGAGACTTGGTTCTGTATTTCAAAAAAAAAAATCATATTCCCCTTTGAATGGCAAAAATAATCACTTCATAATTATTAGTTTGATCTTTAGAGGAGTCAAATGAAGAGAAAGGGGGTAGGTTTAAGTAGAGTGAGAATAGATGAAAAGCTGAGCCAACCTTTTGTGTTGTATACTAGAATAAATGTTGCTTGTTTTTTT